GCACCCCGCGGCTCCGGGCTGTCGCCTTTCCCTTCCGCCAGGCCATGCGACGTTAAAATATTTTTTCCGCCTCTCATCGGGAGCTTTTACGGTCCTTTAAGGCGCTGCCACCCTCGCCCCGGTACGAAGAGCACATCCGAGTATTTCCAATTGACAGAGACACCAGTCCCAGGAGCAGCGGGCAACAGGAGCCTACCAAGGATATTTTTTCGTAAAAAGCCAAAAGGACAGCAGCTATTTGGAGCGCGTGGCATTACGCGGATTCACTAGCAATTCGAGTTTCCAGTTCAGGAAAAGGAGTCTGGAGGAAAACGGTCCAGGGTCTTGCGAAGCAAGGTATTACAAGGTGAGTTTGGATTGTGGGCAGCTGCCTCGGGGAAGCTGCCCTTTCTCTGCCAGGGCACACCTGCAGAGAGGGGTTTTCTTGCCAGGAAATAGCTCTTTAAACATAAAAGCAGACACTGAAGGAACGTACTGATTTTTGTAACTGTTCTGTTGAAATTCCTAAATACTATATTCTGGCCATTTCCTCTCTCTCCTGTTTCATGATAAAGAGTCATTCCTGCCCCCCAAAATAGAGCCAGACCTGTGTCAGTTGTGATACAGGATTAATCTACAGATGATAATTTCAGGGGACTATATAAAGGAAAAAAAAATATGATCTTCTATGTGAGGCTCCTTCACCGCAATAGACTGTATTTCTGTGGTGATTTTAATGCCTGGCTTCCTCAGGTCTTTCACCGATGACCTCGGTATTTAACTAGCCTCTATTTCCTCCTCTAGACCCCTATTTAATCTGCAATTTTTTTGAGGTTTCTAGGTAGCTTCTAAGCCTTCAAACAAATAAAGGATCCTGAGCAGCTGCCCCTGCATCCAGCCCCTGTAGGAGGGTACCACTGGGAGCAGCTGGGAGAGAGCAGCTGTGTTAGAGACATAGGCAAGCCTGACCCACAGCCCCCTGAGCCCCACGGCACAGAACCCGCTCGCCCGGCACACGCTAGCTGCACAGCACAACAAAAAAGCCCTCAGCTTCAGCGACAATCCCCACTTCCAGCCCGCAGAGCCGCGTTTATCCTGCTCTCCATGGCAAAAAAAGGGAAAGGCCTAAGATTTCCTAACACCAAGAAAGCCCCAAAACATTGACAGAGCAGAAAGGTCTCACCTGAGGGAGCCAGTGCAGCATTAGCTGACCTGAAATGCTGTGACCAGGGCCAATTTATGGTCACAAGATTGGATCACCTGGAACCGGCCCTGCAACCTGC